TCCTTTTCCCACAAATCCCTCCACTCATATTCAGAAACTGCTTTCTCGACCGTCACTCAATTCCGATCCCACACGCCGCGTTCGGAAATTCGCGATTTATAAACGCGCGAAAAATCCCGGACGTAACAATGAAAAAAATATCATTATTTTTTTGAGATACTCTAGTAGGTTATGGATAAACAGTTCAATGATAAACCTTGGGTAGCTCCAATAATACTTACATTGGATAGCGCCAATCCATCTCCATTATCTGAAATTACTAATATTGAACAGGAAAAAAGAAGTTCACTTTCTTGTAAATCAGAAACACCTTCTAAACGTAAGCATCACAGTCGATACATCTAATATAAAATATAAAGTCTAATTAAATAAGCATAATTCTAATAAATATAATGTAATAAATATTTTTGTTTTATTTTTATATAAGTACAATGCATATATAATGTAGTATAATGTATCTAAATATAATATAGTAGAATCCAAATCCGACACCAAAGAAACTCGATAGTGAGGTAATAATTTTAGAGTTACATAATACCGTGTCAGATAACCTGGAGGGATTTGCTATATAATTTTTTAAAAAATTTGCAGAATCTTTATTCTATTATATTTAATATTGAATACATATAATTACAGGTATTAAGCAATTTGCCTTATTAGAGAAAGTAATTGCTGTGACAGAAGAAAATAATATTCAACGCCAGAAAATGCACGAAGAAGCAATGGCTCGACAAGACAGATTACTTGACATCCTTGAAAAGATGATTACTAAATAACATGATAGAGAACTCTCAATACCAAAGCGTATTTTTCATATTTCTTTTAATATTCTCTTTTAATATTTACGTAAAGTTCGTTATAATATTTATAAAAATGTGTTATTTAGTTACATAATTTTACAAGACTGATATGAATAATAATTAATAATACGAATCGAGAACGCAACTCGATTGCGCGATCACGCCCTCGACCGATTACCGGAACGCGCGGCGAAATAAGTTTATTATAATATTAAAACCGCGAGCGCGACGCGATTACGCGATCACGCCCTCGACCGATTATCGGAACGCTGACGAGAAGCGCCGAATTAGAAGGTCGCAGACCTCAATAAATATGAGAAGACCGAAGCAGAGTGGAGTCAGTAATTTTAACAAGTTGTAGCGCGTCACTCTGCTCGAATACGATCTTAAAGTTATATCGCGACACGCGTAGTGTAAGTGATTTGTGTGAAATAATATCTTTGTGTATTAAAGTGAATATAATAAAGTTTATTAATATATAAAAGTTTCAAAAAATAAAAGAAGTGATTATTTAATTGCTGCTCCCGAATCCTTGGTGGATCCCGAATCTCGTGTCGCAAATAGCGGCACAACATGTTCGTTTTGTCTCTTGGGAGTTGCTCGGAGTTGTTCTGAAGAAACCCAACGTACTTGGATGTGATCCATTTAATGCTGCAAATGCTTCGTTGATCAATCAGAAGAAAAATTTTACGAATTGATCAATCAAAGAACGTTTCGAGATATTTACAGCATTAAATAGACCACATCCAAGTACGCTAGGTTCGTTCAGAGCGACTCTGAACAGCTCCCGAGAGACAAAACGAACAATACTAGTAATACTATAATACTGTATTAGATAGTCTTTCTATGTGGTACTTAAAGTGATACAAATACTTTATATTCATGTTACAATGAATATGTAAAAAATATATAAATAAATATATATTTTTCAAGCGAATCTCATATGTAAATTGGCACATATGTTATTTCTTTTATTTACAGCGATGTTTCTATCATTACCACATTCGAATCGTTGTAACGGGTTTAATGCTTCTTCAACTTCTATAACAACGGCTACATCTTGCAACTGCAATTCATCTCTTCTCAGCAAACAAATATTGTGTAACACACAACATGCTAATATATGATAAGGAATAAGTTCTATGCAATACATTGCTAGCGTATGTAAAAGACTCCTCCAGCGACATTTTAGAAGAGCAAATGCTCGCTCGATTGTCATTCTAGTTGAGGAATGGCAAAAATTATAATTTTTCTGACGTTGCGTCAAATGTCCATTGTCAGTGTATGGAGTTAAGATATGCTGATGTAATTTGTAAGCAGCATCTCCAATTAAATGTGTGTTGTTTGGAAACTTATCTGGATTCTTAATATATTCTTCAAGAGGCGATGAACGAAAAACACGAGCGTCATGGATCGAACCAACATTTCCAACATAAATATGTGTAAACTGTCTTTTGTGATCACAAACAGCCTATAAAGAATATAGAGTTTATATTATATGTAAGTATTTGAGTTATGCCAGCTGCACACCAGCGCGATGTTCGTCGCGCGCGACACACAATATCCAATGAGCGTCTAGCTTTAGAATGAGAACATCGGTAAAGCTGTACGCTTATTGGATATCGCGCGTCGCGCGCAAAGAACATCGCGCTGGTGTGCAGCTGGCATTACAGTTTTCTAGTAAATACTAACAAAGTAAGTAATAGTAAATGTAATAATTATATCTCAATATTATAATTTCCCATGTAACAAAAAAGTAATACAACACTCATCCTTATGTTGTACATATTAATTATATTATTGAATAGGAAATTAGAATATTAATGTAACCTTATTATTAGTATATATTTATTAAAATTATATTAATAATAATACAATAAATATAATAAAATTGATGATATTAATACGTAAAAGTGTTATTTGAATATTACTTGAAGCTGAATCGAATAATGACCCTTCCTATTCACATAAGCCTCTGCATTTTCTTTTGGACTAGGAATGTTTATGTGAGTGCCATCTATGGCTCCAATCGTATCTGGAAAGCCTCTTATATTAGAAAAACCAAGCACAGTTTCTTGTATTTTATTCTCTGTAGGCCATACTATAAATTGAGATGAAAGCTCGCATAATGCTGCAGTAAACCCGGCGCATAGTTCTAATAGCGGTGGCATGACCAACATTAAAACGTTGAATTATAGATCTGAAATAAAATAATTTGTACGAAATTATAACAAGATTTATTATTCATAGTTGATTACGTTATTAAAATAATTATCATATTTACCTATATGAATCTGGAGTTGCAAAACGCCATAAGCTTAATAAAAGTTGTTTATCTAGAGGTATCATTTCATTTCCGTCAATATCACGAGTAAGTTTCTCTTGAATTAATTGCAAAAGATATTCAAATGTTGATGGTAGCATCCTAAGTTGTCAAAGGCAAGTTATGAATTTTAAACTTTTATGTACAGATTTATGATAATATAATAATTAACAAGTATACAGTAACTATACAAGTATATACAGTGACAATACATACCGAAAGTGTGATTGAAACTGTACACTGTTGAATGAAGGAACTAAATGTTCTACATATTTGTATCCTTGTATTTTAGGAATTTGTTCCTTTTCTTTCAAAGCTGTATTTGTTTCTTCTACTATTATTACAAGATCTATAGTATCATCTTCATAAATATAACTACAAGATTCTTGAAAAATATTTATTATTGCATGTAATGCCATGTTCGTCTCCATATTAACATGAATTATGTCTTCTAGGAATACGATGGTTACGAGATTTTTTAGCAGGTTATGTTCAATAATAACGTTTCCAACACTTCACGATTGATCCACTTGTGTAGTATTGACAATGGCTGCGTTCAGCAGAAAAAGCAGCTTTGCAACTGTTGTAAAATTTTTGAATATGATTGGCTTATACATATAGATCTAATGAGGAAGTAAAGGCAAGACCAATCATATTAAAGAATTTTGCAACAGTTGCAAAGCTGCTTTCTCTGCTGAACGCAGCCAATGTTAGTAGCGCTAACGGATCACTCTATCGGAAGTATTTGTAGCAATAGTGTCTGAAGCGTTTGAAGTGTCTAGTGGATTGCACCCTTTGTCACTAGCCGGTCTATCCGAACGTATTCGTGTCTATATTATCGTATCTGGAAAATCCGATACGATTAGGGTGCAGTCACATGGAGTCAGAAATAACGGAATAGAACAGTAACGGAACATTGATAGAAAAGAGATAGGATTGTTCTATCTCTTTTCTATCAATGTTCCGTTACTGTTCCGTTCCGTTATTTCTGACTCCATGTGACTCCACCCTAAGCGAGATTCGTTTCTCGGAAAATGCGCATTGAGAACGATACGTCTAATCGGAAGTCTCGTATTTGTCCCGATAGAGCGACAGACCTGTCGAAAATACAGTAATATAAGAAATTAACTAAGATCTCCTGTAGAGTTGTGTGGCTCCGCGGCAAGACGGTGGCTTTGTGATACGAACCACTACAAGGTCCACGGGTTCGAGTCCCAGGCATCACGTTCCGAGCATCCGACGTTTTTTCTCGGCCCAGCCTCCTTACAGTTATAGAGCCATTATATACACGAGATTCGTTTTTCGGAATATGCGCATTGAAAACGATACATCTAATAGGAAGTCTCGTATTTATCCCGATAGAGCGACAGAACCTGTCGGAAATACCGTGTATAGAGCCGTGTATAAGCGAGATTCGTTTTTTTTTTTTTTTTAATTTAATATGCGCGTGGAGAACAATACGTCTAATAGGAAGTCTCGTATTTGTCCCGATAGAGCGACAAAACCTGTCGGAAATACCGTGTATATAGAGCCGTATAAGCGAAATTCGTTTCTCGAAAAATGCGCATTGAGAACGATACGTCTAATCGGAAGTCTCGTATTTGTCCCGATCAAAGATGTCTTTAGTCCCGATAGAGAGCGACAGAATCTATATTGTATAGAGCCGTATACGCGATATTCGTTTCTCGGAATATGCGCATTGAGAACGATAGAAATATTCAGTTGAAAATACTTAGTAAAAACACGATAGAAGCGGTAAGGTAACGATAGACCTTAAATCTTTATTGTATTCTATCCGTTTCTATCGATTCTTTTAAGCAGGGTATGATAATAGAAAGTATTATGTAATAAAAAAAAACCATATATTATTTAAAAATAGGAAATGTATCGTGAGAAATAAAGGTTGTAGGTATAAAGCATACCTCATAGCTTATAACTGTAAGTTTAAATTGATATTTATATTTTATGTTAAATAAGCATTTTAAATCTAGACGGTACAGATTTTTGTTTTTGAACATACGTCCTAAAGACATTCTCGAAACTTTCTCAAGACTTCTCTTGAAACTTTTTGCTGTCTAGTACTTATCACTTACTTTAATTTGTCTAATTGTAAGCCCATGAAATGTATAGTAATAATATTTTACGATGATGTATGTACTATCTTTATGGACAAATGTATTGTGGTATGTGTTCCAAAATTTACTGTCAGTAGTGAAAATACATAGTTTAGGTTACCAGCACTATACATTTTCAGAACTGACAGGAACGCAGCTTGTGTTTTTATATTGAGATAGATTATTTTCTATATTAGATGCCTTTCATTTGATGATACAAATCGACACAAACGTCGTTATATCTTGTGACGTGACACTTTGTGTCAGTCACTAGTGACTGCACTAGCACGGAGGAGATCCTGTGTCCTCTAAGCTCGAAGGGCGAGGGCACAAGCGAGCGTGCCAAATTTATATTATTTTTCTTTTCTTTTGTATATCCTTTTATATAAAATATTTAGTAATTTCAGATTTTTAAAGAGCGATTATTAGTCACTTTAGAGCGTGAGCGGTGGTTATTTTGAATCTGTGTAATGTTGCCGCCTCACTCACGGAAGGAAGAAAGAAGACGCCGCCGAGAAAGCAAGAAGCCACCGAAGGAGATCCCGATTGTGTCCTCGAGGAGTGCGGTACACGCAGGTCGTATCACTTTATAAATTTTACTAATTTTGTTGGAATTTGGTGATTGCCGCACCTTAATTGCAGACGCCTCGAAGAGAGACATGTTACGGGACCACCTCAGCACGGCCCGAACCTTGACAGCCATCTCCACCTATGAAGAGAGCGATAGCCGACCGTTGCTCCAGACGGAAGGCTCGGCTGCCTAATTTCGAAAAGCGCACCAAATATTAAAGGATACGCGACCCGCAGGACTCGCTGCGATTAGTCGCGAGGTCACATGGCTGCGACAAGCCAATTGAGACAAGAAGCGACCAGATAAGAGAGGGGTTGAACGGCCTGCGTGGATCCGCAAGTGCTCCCGGTTATCTCTTGTGCGGTAATCGAGGTGTAAAGAGGACGCAGGATCTCCGGAGCCTTATAATCGCAGATTCGTATCCCGTTGCCGAAGAAAGTTCGCGTCGGAAGCACTCCCTTGGGAAGATCGACGAGGGATCGTTACGTGGTGAGGCGAGCGTTATCTTATAAGTTGTGTAAAACCACCGAAGTTGTGCCGACACTCAAAAGTACGGTTACAATATATTGTATATATATGATATATACGAGTATACATATATGTAAGTAATATGAGATGAGGGGGTACAGCCGAAAGCGGAGGCGTTTCGAAAATCGGTTGAAAGTTACATACACTTTACGTATGTTCACTTCTGTACTGGCAACTTTAATTAATAATCAGTTACTTTTCGTGGTAATATATTAATAAAATGTAACTCGTGATAGTACTGCGATAGTTTTAAATATACGTCATATCGGTCAGCAGTCAGTAGAATTTAAAATAATAATTTTATTTAATATATATATGTAAAATGATGACTGCACGGTTTATTATCGGTGAGCCGGGTGAGGGGGTGACGTGCGACTCGCGTCCGCCTTTGCACATCAAAACAATCCCTAAGGCTGCTTCCACTAACCGTCTATCTAATATTAACGCGTTAATTTTAATACAACATATTTATTCTTTATTCGTTAACGCAATCGCATATATAAAACAAAATTATTAAATAAATGTAAAACATTTACTTTTCGTAGTAATATATTATTCGCGGTGTGGTGTTGTGAGGGGGACAGCGAAAGCTAGTCGTAAATGATTCGAAAATCAACCGAAAGTTGCACAGTCCCCCGCGCTGCTCCGCGTGCAATCGAACGAAATGTTCCATGACAATCGAATGGCATTGTTCTGCGCGCGGAGCGGTGAGGTGAGGGGGACAGCGAAAGTTAGACGGAGGCGATTTGAAAATCAACTAAAAGTTACACTGTCCCCCTCACCACACCGCGTGCAGCTGAAATGCCCCATGACAGTCGAATGGCATTGTTCAGCGCGCGGAGCGGTGAGGTGAGGGGAACAGCGAAAGCTAGACGAAGGCGATTCGAAAATCAGCCGAAAGTTGCATTTGCCCTCCCCTCCTCACATCATCTCACCGCGTGCTGTCCAAGTGCTCCATGATGATCAAATGGCATTGTACTGTGCGCGGTGCGATACGATAAGAGGGACTGCGAAAGCTGGACGAAAACTATTCGAAAATCAATCGAAAGTTGCACCCCTCTCACCTCACCGTTCTGCTCGCAGTCCACATGTCCCATGATGATCGAGCGGTATAGACTAGCGCCACATTTGCCTCTTGCGGCAGGAATGTCAGAAGGACATCGAATGGAATGTGGTCGACGTTGACAATCATGACAATAATGACAATAATGATAACGACGATAATAATAACGACGACGACGTATCTTAAAAATAAAACGTGAAAATTTACAGATTCGGACTTTGAGTCGTGATTCTTCGCTCGTAGGACACGTAGAGAAAAAATGAAAGCACTTTTATTATACAATTTAAGCAATTGCTATCGATTGAGCGTATATAAAACTTGATCCGTTCAACCGTTACTGAGATCTGATCATCTCAATACCCCGAAACTCTCAGTTTCGCGTAAAGGAAACTCTCACTTATAATGTTATTATATATATATATACATATTAGGGTGAGTCAAAATTTTAAAAAGTTAAAAAGTTTTATGGGCCGAAGTGGAAATCGATGGAAGACCAAAAAAT